ATATCTCAACATCATTGCCCTCCTTCACCTCTCCCACCCACCCCAGAGTGGATTTTTTTATTCCAAGAAGAGAATATCTGACTTTCTGGATGGAGTTTAGATTTTTGGCAGCCTCTTAACAGCCATGTTCAAACTCAGCCTGTGCTCTTGTGTCGAATCATCCGAAAGCAGGCAAAGTCTTTTTTTTTTTTTAAGATTTTATTTATTTGAGAGAGAGAGAGAGAGAATGAGCAGAGAGGGGGACAGAGGGAGGAGAAGCAGACTCCGCACTGAGCAGGGAGCCTGACACGGGACTCGATCCCAGGACCCTGAGATCATGACCTGAGCTGAAGGTAGACAACCGACTGAACTACCCAGGCACCCCAGAAAGCAGGCAAAGTCTTCTCCTTCCAGAGTTGTTCAAGGACATAATACAAAGGAGAACCACAGAGGAAATATGTCATGTACACAGGGAGAAAAAAAAAAGACAGCTCTGATATGCTAGAAGGAAGAAGCCCACAGAAAGATGTGGATTATGTAATAAGGCTCAAGAGAAGGGCTGACAAGAAAAGACTTCCTTTAATGCTACTGCAAAGTGCAAATATTCAGCAAGGAACTGACCTTATCCTGGTGAATAGGCACTTCTCAGTGGCTCCTTCTTTCCCAGTGTAGACACTGAGACATCCTGGAATCCAGCTGAGTGAGCAAAACTGCCTGTGGTCTCTGCCCTCCTGTCTGGGTGGTCAGCCTGGTGCCTCTGCGGTCACCAACCTGACCCACTTCAAGCCCCAGGAGAGACACTTTGCTGCTGTAGAACCCCACTCTTTTGAGGGTGTGAGGGGGAGCAGGATAATGAGAGAGGCCCCCTGAACGGCCAGGAGCCATAAATTCTCAACTTCAGAAGCCTTAGTATCCAAAAGAGAAAAAGAACCCCTTCATTAGGTCTATGTTTAAAAATGTTTAAAACTGAAGTTCAGAAAAATGAGGCCTAGTGTCACAGAAAGAGTGAAGGTAGGAAGCACAGAAAGATGGGCATGCCCGCTCTCACCACAGAACACGGCCCTGCCTCGCAGCAGGGTTCCACAGCAGCCCCCCATCAGCCTCCCGCAGCCCCTCCAACATACAGCTGCAGGAGCGAGCTTCACAGAACACAGGTCTGGGCACGGGCCTTCCGAGTTCGGTTCATTCTTCCGTCGTGTAGACCACAGTCACCTCAATCACCGTAAGACCCAGTGGTTAGGACAAAACCTGCCACAACCTGCCATCAGTAAGTGTTTGCTGAGTGAATTATATTAATCGCTGCCGTGTATCTCCTTCTCAGGGAGCCTTGTAGTGGAGACATATAGAAATGACTAAAGGATGGGTCCTGCCTGCCCTCCAGGATCTCAGAGGCTAATCAAGAAGGCACAGTTAACCCCAACGCAAGGCAGAATGACATAAATGCTTGTTGGTGGGGCAAGAGGAGAAAGACGAGGTTAATTTCAAAATGGGATATTAAGTGTCTGCCTTCAGCTCAGGTCATCATCCCAGGGTCCTGGGATCGAGCCCTGCATTGGGCTCCCTGCTCCGTGGGAGGCCTGCTTCTCCCTCTCCCACTCCCCCTGCTTGTGTTCCCTCTCTCGCTGTGTCTCTCTCTGTCAAATAAATAAATAAAATCTTTAAAGAAACAAACAAAATGGGATGTTAAAAGAAGAAGCTAATGAATGCAGTGATGAAAGGCAAACTTTTCTCTTCACCTTTTAGAAGGTAAAACGTCTCTGAGTAGACAGTTTTTACCTTTTCCAAGTTCAGTATCATGTTTATGTTGCAAAAATATGTTGGTGGAATTAGTTCCATTCAACAAGAAATTTTCTAGGCCTAAAGCTTTGGAAATATAAGTCTACTCACTAAAACTCTATTTTTTTGAAGAATTTATTTATTTATTAGAGAGAGAGAATGAGCAAGGTCAAGTGGGAGAGGGAGAAGCATTCTCCCCGCTGAGCGGGGAGCCCAGCACGGGGCTCTATCCCAGGACCTCAGGATCATGACCTGAGCCAAAGGCAGACATTTAACTGACTGAGCCACCCAGGTGCCCCTAACCAAAACTCTATTGACACAACCACTCAGAGACAAGTATTAAAACAAATAAAAATAAATGATACCATAGAATCAGCAGCACCTAAACATTTTATGATATTTTAATAGATTAAGAAAGATTTTCTAGTTAGTAAAGTATCACAACCATATTCTATAATTCTCTATGTAGAGTTTTATTTTTTTTTAAAGATTTTATTTATTTACTTGAGAGAGAGAATGAGAGAGAGAGAGAGCCTGAGAGGGGGGAGGGTCAGAGGGAGAAGCAGACTCCCCACTGAGCAGGGAGCCCGATGTGGGACTCGATCCCGGGACTCCAGGATCATGACCTGAGCCGAAGACAGTCGCTTAACCAACTGAGCCACCCAGGTGCCCCACTATGTAGAGTTTTAGAATTGTACTCACAAATTATGCTTTTATGCTTAAAAACCAGTATCAGGAGTAAAGGCATGCTTCCTGAAAGTTATATGCAAACATGTAATAAATGTAGGATTTTAGGCACAGAATCTTTGTTTTGTAGAATATGAAATAAAACATTTGCATCTCATTTTGCCCTGTTTACTATGTGATTTTGATCAAGTGACTTTGCCAATGAAAAACTAGGTCTACATCAATGGCCAACTCAAACTTGAATGTGTCTCAAAATCGCTTGGGCTGACTATTTAATTGGCAGATTGCTGGATCCCTTCCTCAGGGTTGCTGTTTCACTGGGCCTAGGATAGAGCCCCACTAAATGGATTCCTAGGAAGACCTCACAGATAGTTCTAATGGAGAAAATCCATGAATGACATTTTGAGAACTGTTGCTCTAGTGTTTAACCTGGGAGTATCCTTGGGTAGGCTTCTGGAATTCTGT